TGAATGACGTTCGAATGCATTCCACATACGTTCCAAATGCAAAGGAATCCATTGAATATACCCTAAATGAAAGCTCTTCATGGCATTTTGACAGTTTGAAAAAGCTGTTTTTAACATATTTACAAAAAAAGGTAAACAAATGTTTGGTGGTTGCATTTTCTTGAAAACGATGCACTGCTTTTTAGAACTTTTACTTCCCAAAAAGTAATTAATCGAAGTTAAAAATATGTTTTAAGTTTCTAATGTAAGGTTTGAAGGCATATTTAACCTTCATGCAACATTTTTTTGGCACAGGCCAAAAATCAAATCAACATGCAAGTTGAAAAATCAGCTGTTGAAATGAGAACAAATGAAATAGAACGAATGTAAACACTTTCAAATGGCTCATTCAAAATGAGCCATTTTCGGCCAATGTAAACGCCATATAAGATTCTTGTTACAATGAATATATATTACATTACAAATGTATAAAAACAACAACCCTGTTTTTATTTTTGACTAAGTAACCACAATAATAACTTTTAACAAAGCTTTAAGTGTCATCGCTAATTTAGCATATTTTATTCTGATTGTTCCATAATTATACTTGAAAGTGTCATTTGTAAAGAAGAAAAACAACGTGAAGAAGTAAATTGTTTTTAAATATCTTGAAACAAAACAAAAAAATGGCAGAACTTATCGAACTTGAAAAGCTTTTGCTTAAGATCGAAACGACATCAAAAATAAATGTCAAAAAATTATTGAATATATGGATTGAAATCTTTCCACTTGAAGTTTGTAAGGAACATTTACGTAAATTGGTAAGGCACGCAGAGTCATTTTATACAGAATTGGTTTCGGAATCTGAAGAAAAGAAAGTATTTATTGAAAGAGAGATAAATGATTTAAAAGACGAAGCTAAAAATTTACATCGCTTGCTCAATATAGAGGCAGAATTACCATGCACCGATCCAGATATTCCATTATTAATGCAACAATCTGATTTGGATAAAAGTTTACAGGACTTGCGTGAGTCTTTGCGTCAGAAGCGTGAAGACATTCGAGAGATGTTGCTACAACAAAGGGCACTTTGCGAAGAACTTGGTGTAGAAGCCCAACCATTGCTGGAAGATCCATTACCAACGGAAAATGAAATAAATGATTTTCGCAAGCATTTAAATGAATTAGATACTATTCGCATGAGTCGCTTAAATGATGTATCTAACTTACGTAAAGAAATAAAAGATTATTTACAAATACTGCAATTGGAAGTTAATACCGACAATGAAAATAAACTTTTAAATCATCATCAAATAAAACTTGATGAAGAGACATTTAATGGATTGCAATATATGCATAAACGTTACGGTGCGAAGGTGCAAGAGGTACGTGAGGGTATAGATAACATGCGACAGAGCTTAGAAAAATTATGGAATCTCTTAAATATAACTACGAATACACGTAATAAATTTATACACTTAAATGACTACACACAAGTTGCATTTGATATTTACTACAAGGAAATACAGAGATGCGAAGCGCTCAAACGTCAAAACATCAAATTTTATATACAACAATTACGTGAGCAAATAACGCAATGGTGGGACAAAACGCTTAAGTCGGAAGTAGAACGAAATCGTTTCTCTAACTTTAACAATAATTACTATACAGATGATTTACTGGTCTTGCACGAACTGGAACTCGATGATCTACAAACATACTATGAAACTAATCAAGAGATTTTTGAACTATTCGAAAGTCGAAAGATACTTTGGGAACGTATGATGGCATTAGAGAATAAAGCTACAGAACCGGGTCGTTATAATAACCGTGGTGGACAACTTTTGAAAGAAGAAAAGGAGCGAAAAACTATTACGACCAAATTACCAATTATTGAACGAAAAATTACAGAATTGGTTAAAATATACAAAGTACGGGAGCATAAACCATTTACTGTTTATGGTGAAAATATTGTAGATTATATGAGTAATGAATGGGCTCAGAAACGTCAAGCAAAGGAACAACGTACAAATACTCGAAAGAATATGCAAGTAAAATCGCAAACACGTGCAATATCTAGTAAAAGCAACTCAGTAATATCCACGTTGAACTCACCTTTAATAACAAATTCAGCAAGGAAAGTATCTTCATCGCTTAAGCGTAAACTGCCAACAATAAATAACAACGGACTAACTGTTAAGCGTTGTTTAATGGAATCTTTGAATAGTCCAAATATTTGCAAAAGTCGTCCATCAATTGGTGTGTCTTCAAGAAAAATGTTAGGGGTTAATAATCTGACACACCTCAGTGGTTCGAATAAAAAACACAATACTTTGAAGAAATCTCCCAAAACATCATCAATAGCAACAAGCAAAACCACAGTTATATTCACTGACCAGGCAAATGGTAATTCTTCAAAAAATTTTGAGAAGAACAATAAGTCAACAGATCACTCCTTTATGTTTAACACCAGCTCCGGACCAGTTATATCGGAAGCTATTGGAAAGACGCAGCCAACCGAATCGGAGAGACTACTGACGTTACCTAATCCACGTAATTTGACATACTTTCTTCACACAAAACCTTAATATAAATTAATTCCGATATAAGTTAAAATTATTTTGTTATTATTTTTATTTTACATTGATTACTTCAAAATTTATTTTAATATTTAAATTAATTTAAACATTGTAAACATCAATATTTTATTTAAAAATTTAACAATTGTATTCAGGGATCAGTTAAATTAACTGATCAATTATTGAGTCAACTGAAATGATTTAATATGAAAAAAAGACATTTTGAAATTTGATTTAAAAAGTATCTTTAGTAGAAGAGTAGAAATTGATGTATCCAAATTATAATTATAATCACAATTATCTTATTGTAAGTATGTTAATGGTTTATGGGTTAGGCCTTTATGCGCTGCGACCAGCTTGATCTATTGTGCATCCTACCCTTATTGCAACTATAAATTAGCTACTTTTTTGATATTCATAGCTATGTATACCTATACAACTTTTTAATAATTAATATTACAAACATTCCTTTATGATTACCGCTCAGTAATCTAATATATAATGAAGAGGTAGATCAACAATTTCAAGCATATTGTAAAATATACATAAGATCATGAATTGTTGGATCGTTTGCATGTATAACGCTGCAGTATATTATCTATTGTACTTATACCTATTTGGAATGGATTTCTTATTTCTTTCTTTTAATCAATACTTCGACTATAATGTTCTATTAAATGGATCAACCAAAGTTTATTTTTTCTTTTGTACATATGAGTATACAGTGACATTATTATTGTAAACATCAAATATGCTACTGTGGATTATATGAGAATGAGTAATGAACCCTCTTATGTTTTTTGAATGCAGTCTTTACTGCATTTTCATGTATTACATATGTAAATCTGCACAGCTATAAACAATTCGTTGATGAAGTTTCGATTTTAAAACAATAAATTTATCAAACCAAAACATCATAGTCCAATTATATCTATATATTAACTTTCATCAGTCATTATCTAAAAATGGCTGTTTGTGATATTGTTGTGGTATGATTTAACATCGTGAACTACCGCAGTATCGTACAGCATCTATTTGTGTTATACCTTTAAATCTATAAGATATGCTATTAAAATTCAAGACTCGCAATGATATCAGAAAAGTTGCCAGATTTATATGATCTCAAAATTTTAAATAATTTTATTTTAAATAATATTTTGTCTGTAACTGTTACACAAAACTATGGGTTTTGTGGGGAATTTAACAATAAATTCTTTCAGTTAAATTTCTTTTGAAGAACTGAATTGTCATATGCCAAAATATAAACAGAGAAGCCATATTTAAAGCAGTCATCTTTAGATGAAGGTTTTTATAATAAAGAAATTTTATAATATCTTTTGCAAAAATAAACATATAACAAAATAATTACATTTTTGTGTCATTAAATTTTATTGTAATGTTTTAAATTTGCTTATTTATATAACAAGATAAAAATTTACAATGTTTTGCAAAAATAATTAATTTAGCACGCGCATTTACTGTAAAGGTGGCAACATAACACACCACTGCGTATGTGCAACATTTATTGTGCACATTTAATCCAAACGAAAAGAGACGTAAGCGACTTAAAGATAATCCGAACCGGTTAAAAAGAACTGATACTAACGCTTTCCGACTGTTTTGATAGCTCTATGTTAAGCAAGTAAATACAATGGAGAGAGGGCATATCAAGCTATGGTTTGTTAGTTTGAAAATTATAAGTGTGAGTAAAACTCAGACTGCGTTGGTTACTCTATTTGCTTATTTTGCATATGCCGTATATGATGACAGTGGAAATAGTTTATAATATTATTACTACAAATATAAATTATATTATATTATATAAATTATTATATATTTTT